TTATCATAAAGACAAAAATCTTTTGAGAACGTCTGTTTTTTGGGTTGGCAAAAGGATCAGCGGAAAGAGTTTTTATATTATAAAAAATAATAAAAGCTAATTCAAATATTTTTAAATATATTAAATTGTTTAATATATTTTATATTTTAATATATAAATTTTTTTAAAACTAAATAATATTTAAATATTATATAAATTTTTAAAAATATTTATTAAATTAAAAATTTATATTAGTTTATTATTTCAGAAATCTTTAAAAAAAATATTTAAGTTTTTTAAAAATTTTTATACTAAAAAATTTTAATATATATATATATATATATATTTTTTTGTTGCAAACAAAGAATTTTAAAATTTTTTATTTAATTATATAAAAAGTTATATAAAAAAATTTTTTTTTTTTATTTTAATAAAATCAAATAAATATAAATATATTATATTATATTTAAAAATTCAATTTTATTAACAGATAAATTAAATTATATATATATATATACAGTGATAAATAAAATTTTTTGAAAAATTTATTTTTGTTATAAATAAACAAATTCTTATTTAAATAATTTTCAATTTTAAATATATGTTTTTTATTCTAATTTTTATAATTAATTAATATAAATTTTATTATAAAATTAATTTTTAAATCAAAGAATTTCAAGTTTAAATTTTTTTATAAATTCTAATCAAAAATAGTTTATTTTTATTATGATAAAATTTTTATCAAATGTTTTTTATAATATAAAAATTTTATTATTTTATAAAATTAATTTTAAAATAAAATTTAAAAAATTTACAAATTTTTTCAATAAATTATTTATTAATTTATTTATAATTTTATAATATTAAATAATTTTATTAAATTTTTATTATCAATTTTTCATAAAATTTTTTAAAACCATTTTTTCAAATAATATTTTAATAATATTTTAATAATATAATATATAAATAGTTATTAAGTAAACTTGTTCTTTATAGTCTTAAATACATATAAACAATTTTTTATTTAATTTCTTTAAATAATTCTTGAAATATAATTAATTAAGTAAAAATTATTTTTTTCAAAAAATTTTGCTTACCATTGTATATAATCTTTATTGTAATGATTTAATAAGAACAAAAAAATTTTAAAATTAAATATATACTGTATAAACCTTAAAAAAACTCAAATAAAAAAAAAAAAGTATAAAGCATATTTATTTTTATTGTTTTCGCTATATTTTAAAACAAATTTATTATATGAAAACCTTATATAGTAAGAGATTAAATATACAAACGTTAGCTTTGACTTCCTAGTCGTACAAAAATATGTCAAATCAGTAGAGCCCATAAACAAACAATACCGACAAGCCAGGAAAGATGCATGCTGCAAGCAATTAATTTAGCACAAAATCGAATTTTGCTTAACGTTAATCAGATAATGAGATCATATGTAGTTAAGCAGGCAATAATTTTTCCAAACTCTCCAGAAAGTTCAATCTAGGTATGTGATATCTAATTTAAAATACGAGATACCAAACACGTTACATTGTAAAAAAGAAGTCGAAGAAAATTTATTTTTAATGTAATTGTTCGCTTATTGTCATCTTTTCACTTTAGATCGCCTATTGTCAGATTTGATGTTTCTCCTTCATTCTTGTACTCCACCAACATCACTTTACGTTACCATTTTAATCTTTTATCAGTTTAGGAGTGCCTTTTCTGGTTACCTATTATGCTTATCACTTATGCCATCCAAATTAATTCTTTAACGAAGTTTATCTTCGACTTGAGTCTTTTATTTTTTTACAGTTATAAGCAAGCTATTAAACACGTTATTTATTAAGTACTATATTGAATTTCCACCGTGAACCAAGTGTCATCTATAACAAAGAACATTTACAGAACTTCATATTGACCTTCTTCACTTGGTTCGCTTCGTATAGTAACAAAGTTATTTCGTAAAGTTTTCTACAATGGCTGCTTTGATCCCTAACAAAAAGAAAGGCAGCTCAGAGAGTTCCAGCTTCACGGCCGTTAACACTAACGGTGCTAGCACAGAAAGTTCCAACTTCACAAATGGTGCCCAACAGCCGTACCAAGGAGAAGGGGCTGACGGCATCGAAAATCAATCACAAACTTCACAACAGCGGCAAGTAATTTCTCAACAACGACAGTCATTCCAAGAACAAACGCCTAGCTTCATCGCGAGACCCACCTTCGGCTTAGTCGATTTTGTTTTACTGGAAACCTTAGGTAGGCATTAGTCCAGGACGTCTCGTTGGCTTTCATAAAGTCTTCTCCAAGTCAATTTTTATCGTTAAGAATGCATCAAACTTTAAAATATTGGGTAGTTCAATATGGTTAGGCGACACTACGTAATGCCTACATATGTAATATGAGGCGTACCTTAAAAAAAAAAAAGTCTTTTATGCGATCATCCAGATCACTATATCTTTTATAAAACGGTCATTCTAATAATCAGATTGCTAATTTTTGCGTAATGTAGGAACCGGAACGTTCGGACGTGTGTTCCTCACCAAATTCAAACATACCGAGAATTATTATGCAATGAAAGTATTGAAAAAGCTCGAAGTGGTTAGACTCAAGCAAGTTGAACATATCAACTCTGAAAAGCTCATCTTAAGCCAAGTTCACCATCCGTTCATCGTAAATCTGTGAGCATTATTTTCTATCAAATCACCAGCAACTCTCAATGTAACACGGAACTAAATAAAATATGAAATTTAGATTTTGTACATTTCAAGATGATAAGAATTTATATATGTTACTTGAGTACGTTATCGGAGGAGAATTATTTTCACATCTACGGAAAGCTGGACGTTTCAGCAACGACATGACACGTTTTTATGCTGCGGAGATTGTTCTTGCTATCGAATATTTACATTCCAAAGACATTATCTATCGAGATCTCAAACCTGAAAATTTACTATTGGACTCGAGAGGTCATGTGAAGATTACTGACTTTGGATTTGCAAAAAAGGTCGAAGACCGGTAAGCAATGATATCTATTTGAGGATCTTTTTCTATTTGCTAGACTATCTGTTATTCAACGAAACATTACTGCAAATCAATTGTTTAGCACCTGGACGTTATGTGGTACCCCAGAATATTTAGCTCCAGAGATAATCAAGAGTAATGGGCATGGAAAACCAGTGGATTGGTGGGCGCTGGGTATTCTAATATTTGAAATGCTGGCCGGGTAATTAACCAGATATCAAACTTTAAACTGTGAATAACTCGAGCTAAACAATTTTTTGTTAAATTATATATTTATTTTTTATGACGTTAACTATTATAGTTATCCTCCATTCTTTGACGATAACCCCTTTGGTATTTACGAAAAAATTCTTGCTGGAAAGATACAATTTCCATCACATTTTGACAATCTCGCAAAAGACCTTATCAAACGTCTTTTAACGGCTGATCGTACAAAACGATTAGGTAACCTCAGAGGGGGCAGCGAAGATGTAAAGAAACATAAATGGTTCCGTGGGGTTGATTGGCAAGGTTTATGTGACAGACGCGTGCAGGCGCCGATCATTCCACCATATCAACATCCAGGAGATACTAGTAATTTCGAAAAGTATCCAGAACCATCGGATGAAGAAGGTGGAATCGGTAACACAGGAGACCCCTATCGACATCTTTTCATAAATTTCTGAGGAAAAAATTGCCACCACTTCGTAGGATGAGAGATTTCTTGCCGATTATCACAATGAACAAAATGAACCAATGCACACTTTTAAATATTATTATTTTTTTTTGGTGACGGTTTTTTTAAAAAAAAATTTAGTGTGCACAAAAATTGTCGGTTTATTCTATTTTATTTTATATTTTTTTTTTGGATCAGCTAGTGGTTCGTCTCTAAAGAATTCGGATTCTCATTAGTCACCCTTTCATTTTTGGAGCTTTTAATTTTATTTGATCGACGTTTTTTTGAATTATTTGGGCATCTTACCCTAATCCGAACGCTGTTACTATCGCGTTTTTTTAAGCAATCAGTTTTGGAATTGTTAGGTGGCAAAATTTTTTCGGAGAAGGCAAAACCAGAAAATTTAATATTTCGCTATCACCGAATTCTCCAAGAATGTTCTAAAATCTTGTAATTAATTACTTATAATCAAGATTTTACGTATCCTTATTTGAAGACACGAACCTTTATTAGCAAAAAATCTCTCTGTAATTGACTTTATAAGTCGCAACATGACTAAGAAATTAATAATGAAATTTGGATATTTTTCTTCATGAACTTATTTTGCGATTATCACCTAAATGCCAGTCTTCCCTTGCTCCGGAGTTCAATATTTCTCAGGACCAAGTATCAATGCTTTAATAACTTTGTCCTTTCTATCTTTAACTGTTTCGAATGCGCGTACGCATTCCTCGAATTTAAACACATGTATGATAAGTGGTTCCAACTTGATGAACCCTGCAGCAACCATTTCAACAGCTTTTTTGAATGTGTTGCAGTATCTAAATGATCCCTTGACTGTAATCTCGCGAATTGCAATATCTGATAAAGGTAAGATTACGTCGTCCATGCCCATTCCTACTTGAACAAAGGTTCCTCCTGATTTTGTCATCTAAATTTGTTAACACGTTTAGTCATAGTAGATTTAGTAAAGTCCGTATAAAATGATTAAAAAAATACTCACATAGATACCGGCTTGTATCGAACTTTCGGCACCAGAGCACTCAAGCACCACATCAGCTTGTTCAACACCGAATTCGTGTATCATCTTCTGTGAAAATATTTTAGAATATTCGATAGAACTGATTTCATTTGTTTTCTCCCCTAAAATGATCCGATCGGCAACATAACTTTTGGCAAAGTTTAGTCGATCTTGGTCGATGTCAATCATCGTAATTTTGACCGCTCCTGAAGCCCTTGCGGCAGCCCCTGACAACAAACCAACAGGCCCAGCACCAAATATAATTACAGTTTGACCTGCTCTCAAGTTAGCCAATTTACACGCATGAATTCCAACTGATAACGGCTCAATTAATGCTCCTTGTTCAAGTGAAGGAAAAGTTGGAGGTAACTTAACGCAAAAATCTTCGAGACAGCAGTAATACTGACAGAGTGTACCTTTTGAGGAATACAAGCGGTCAATTCAAAGGACAAAATAATTATTAGAAGGAAATAATTTCGAAAGACATACCGTCACAGGGTGGTGTTGCTGCGAATTTCATATCTTCACACAAATTGTATTTTCCACCCTTACAGTAGTCACAAATATAACAAGGCACACCAGGTTCAATTACTACTTGATCTCCAACTTTTAACGTTTTGCAATTTTCGCCAACACCTGTCACAATTCCACAAGTCTCATGACCAAGAACAATTGGTTCTTTCACAATGAATTTACCCATTCGACCATCAATCCAGAAATGTACTGAAAAGTAGTTGAAAGTAACGTAATAATAGAATTAGTATCCTTTATTTAGAACGGGCGACGCGTGACAACATATTTTTTTACCGTCAGAACCACAAATTCCAGTAGCTCTAATTGCAACTTCAACCTCGTTGGGCTTTGGTAAGCGTCTTGTTCTATCTGTGACTTGGATTTCTCCTTTACTATGAAAAATCCATGAGGTATTTTTCTTTTCCATTGTTAAAGAAAATTTTTAAATTTTTATGAAAATAAAAACTAGCGTCTATTATATAGCTCATAATCTCGTCAGTCCACTTGATTATTGAATTTCAAACCCAGTTTTGATCTGAAATGAGTTGAAAATCAATTTTACACATTATATTGTTTTTTTGGGAAAAAATTTGAACCAAAAAAAGAAAAGACAGGGTGAATAACAAGTTAGTGAATTATGAATTATTTATTATTTTTTTTTGTTATCAAGATACAAAATTATATTGTTGTCTAAAAGATATATTATATAATTAAAATCTATTTTTTTGTTTTTTTTTTTCCATAGTCAAACAAACAAGTGCATGTTTATTAAATCTTTACAAAAAACAAATAATGTAATATACTGTATATCATATTGCTTATTAACTTGAATCAATCTTAAAAATCTATTGTACAGTTTGTTATTGCTTTTAATTTTATATAAATTCAATATAAAAATTTGAAAATATAAATTATCTAATAAAAAATTTTATAATTTTTCTATTTCAAAGTCTTAAATTATAAAAAAAAAATTCAGAATTAGATTTTATTTATAATTTATAATAATAACCAATTAATTATTATTATTTTTTTATTTTTTTTTTAATCAAATTATTATTATTATTATTTTGTTTTTAATCAAATTATTAAATATATATTTATTAATATTTTTTTAAAAAAACAATAATATAAATATATATTTATTATAATTTTTTTTAAATAAAACTTTAAAAAGTATTAAACTAATATTGATTTAATATTGAAATAATATCAATTTAAAGTAAATTTAAATAT